CCCTGCAGGCTATGCAGGGATATCTTTATGCATTTCCACCACCTCCATCTGGACAGAATACTTTCTTTGGGTGTGAGATGGAAAGAGGGTTGGGGGGGAAATGAAGGAAAGATGGATGACAGGAGGCAGAAATTGGAGGAGGGAGACACATCAAAGAGGAGAGGTTTCTGTGTGGAAGCTGAGGGGAGATGAGGAAGAAGGTAAGTCTCCATCAAACACATGAGCTTCCTTTGCTTCAAACAGCCCCAGCACAGAGGCTGGATGAAACGAGATACCTTACACTAACAGGAGTCCAACTGCGCTTCTGGGAGAGAGACGGTGTGTGGTGTGTGTTTGTTTGCATGTTTTTATGCAGCTAGGTGCTTGGACAGTATTTCTGTACACTGCTGCTCCTTCCTTATGCATAACATGTTTTTGCATTACAATTTTTTGGCCATCAGTAGCGTTATGGAGCTAGTGGGTTCCTTTATTCTTCATATCACGTGCACAATACAAACAGCAACACACATTGCTGCAGATTTTGCGCCATTCCACTGACCGACAGTTGGTGGCGGTAACGGGTGAAGAAGCGCAGAAGTGCGACCACAAAGGAGGTGAAGAAGAATGTAGCACACATAAATTTAAACAATGAAGGATTTAAAATATCTTTGAAAATCGGCTTTGCAAATGTTTCATGAGAAAGGAAACACATTCAACCACAGAGTGTATAATAGAAATGGACGTAGTCGCCATGACGTCACCCATTGGTTGTGGACTGCCGTAATGAACCCTTGAGTGTGGCATTTTGGCTGTCGCAATCTTGACTTTTTGCAACCAGCAGCACCAGATGTATCCAACAGGCTTACTTCAAAATGTACCCTCCGACTCCTAATAAACTTTTTCAACGGCGCTGGTCAAATGGTGCTCAGTGCCATGGGTACGACTTGCCTCTATCCTGATTGACAAGTCACCATGGTAGCGTCTATTTTCCTCTAAATGGGACCATCATTACTAAATGACCATCATACTGTTTTGAAGAAGACGAGTGAAACCATAAACTCATTAGGAAAATGTTTACTGAGGGAATAAATCAGGTGGAATGTAGGGTCAGTTTACCATTATTTCTAATGGAACAGGACTTCTTTTTGCACCACAGGAGTCGCCCCCTGCTGGCCGAATGCAGGTCTATGGCACTTCCGCATTAGCTCCACTGTTCAGACCTGGAGGTTCCCGCTTGCATTCAACACACTATTTACACTTAAATGAAACACACAATGCGTGAATGTGGACATAATTTTGTAACCTCACAGGGAACCTTTAAAGTTAAAGTTTAACATTTTGGGAAATATATGTATGCTAAGTAAGAAGCTATGGCTAGCAGCTGTCTAGACCAGGAGCAGGGGGAAACTGCTAGCCTGGCTCTCTCCAAACAGAACAAAATCTGCCTCCCAGCACCTCTAAAGCTCACTATTTAACATGTTGTATCTTGCTTATTTAATCTGAAAGGCTCCTGTAAACCGTGAACTATGTATTGGACTATTTCTTGGCCGGGAGTAGTAACTTCCTTAAGTCTCTGCTGGTTGCTTGGTAACTGATCAGCTGCTGGAGGTAGCTTCATATTTCCTGTACTGACATGACAGCAGTCAGTTTTCTCATGTAACTCTTTAAGACAACTTTCTACAGTTCTGACAGCTACAGTAAATTTAAACATGCTTCAGTGAAGGTTGCAGCACCTCTCACCAGACACAGCGGTCAATATTGTTTTTTTGGATTATCTGGACATGGTTTTCTGCTTGTAGCCATTTGATGCACAGCTGCAGGAGTGCAGTTGCAGGCCTGTGGTGGCAGCGGGTTGCTGACAGCGTACCTGCAGAGCCTCAGACAGCAGCTCAGTTCCGCCTAAGCCGGCCTGCAGTTCAGCTCCGAAGCCAGACCCAGCTCAGCTGTGTGAAATCAAACTAACGAGCTAATTCTGCAGTCTGGCCCAGCTGAAGCTGCTTTGATTGATTGCTGCTCCCCTCCACCGGCCTCAGTGAGACATGGACGGTACAGCAATAGTCTATTCAATGTCGGATGGAAGAAATTCCCAGCTGTTTTATCGGAAATGACATGCAGTGTAATGGTCATCCAAACGAGGATGAAACATGGAGCTACAAATTCAAATTTTAAATGTATATGTTCAACTGTTACCTGATAAATGTTACAGCAACTTTAGGTTGACATAATGGTGTATATAAAAACAAATCTGTGTATTATGAGGACTACAAACATGCTGTATTTCAAGCTAATCAGGAAGCTTTCCGTGCTGGTTGAAAATCTTAATGATTATAAGTGGCACCTGAAGTTCAGTGCACCAGTTCAGCCTGTGAAAACAGTTGTATAATGTTTTCTGTGGCGCTGGAGGGGCACTGTCAAGTCAGAAAAACTTGGCATCTGCTGCTTCAAGCTTGACCATTTTTTTTTTATTTGTCCCCAAAATGTATGGAAGTGCAATACTGACTTGCTGAGTATGCTTGAATGTAAGCTACCATAATGACAAGATGACAAAAAGTGCTTTACATATTCTGGTTACTTGTCCATTTTCGTCCCTTTTAGGTGCTGTACTATCGCACATCAATCGCAACTGCAATTTCAGGCAAAGTAATATAAATTAAATAGTTTTTCTAAATTGTTCAGCCCTATGCTGTACTATAGTATAAGGTTTCTGAATTAATGTTATTATATGGATGTTGAGTATTATTAATTCTGCAATCACGGCAAATTTAAAATATTTCTCAAATTACATTTTTTAAAAAGTCTTCACCTGTACATTTTAAGTTTAACAGCCTTATTTTGAACATTTTGGATTCTATACTGGACTATTCTATTTTGGACTATAGGTAATAAAAACATGTTAACTGAATCTTACCAACAAGTTCTACTTACATGTGTTGATTAGCAACCAAATGCATAAAAACTACCAATACGAAGAAAATTAGTACGCATACTGAAAGAAAATTCATGTGCTTTCTTATTGTATAACAAAGGCATATTATAGAAGCAATAAAACATTTATAGCCAATGTTTGCAGACATTTTAGCGATGAAACGCACTTAGGCAAGATGCTAACTGGATCAAAACCCTCTTAACTCTTCTGAAATCACTGTAAATCACCATGAGTGGCTTATGACGAAAACATCCACAGTGTTGGAAACCCAGGCAAAGTGCATTAACTTTGAAGTAGTTGAAAACTGAGCGTCTCAGTGCTGGGAAGGTGAGCTGTGATCGCCCCGCTGAGCCGAAGCTGGAGCTTGATTGGTTCTGATTAGTGAATAAATCAAACAGGTATCAAATCAAGCCGGGCCAATTGCCTCCTACTCACACCTTGATTAGGTTCATGCACCTAAACACGTTCCCTGGTTGAGAAACACTCTCACACACACACACACACACACGCAAGTCTGCCCTGTAATTGGCAAACTCTCCCTGCCTCTATCCACGCCAGCTGTAATTAGTGTGCCAGCAACAATGCTTGTTTGTCAGAAAACACACATGTACACATACACAGTGCTCATCCCATCCTCTCTTATGCCTCAGCTGACACCCTTTGATACGCCCACACACACATGCACAAACACACCAATACTATTCAGCCTTCCATGACGCCTCAGGGCAGTTAGTATTTACAAATCTGCTTGTTTCTCTGTAAAATCTCCCACGCTGCTTCTCGGTTTCTGACATAATGTTGGGAACTAATTCGTCTCACTGTTTCCACTATTTTAAAATGTACACTAACTGGCACAACGGGGCGCTAGGTCAAATTATTTCTTACTGTTTGGCTCAGAAGGGATAACATATTTGTTCCTTTTATACAGATTTATTTGCAGTTATAAAGGGAAAGATTTAAATTGTTCACAACAAATTGGTTGATAACACTGTAACTTTTTAATGGTTCCATCTGATTTTAAACAAGAAGGGAATTTCAAATGTGCACCTGATGGCTACTTGTGTGATATTGTGTTTAAAGGCTAAAGCTACATCCTCACCAGGTGATGATCCATGTAGAAGACATGGAAATAAAGAAACAGTGTAGAGCTAGTTTGTCCTAGCATTGTGAGCATGATAACAAATGATGCATGAGTATTTTAAAACAGCATGTTTCACCTTTAATGTTAGAAAAAAGGCGTATGGGATGAGTGATGACTGATTGATGTTTGGTGATCATAACTCTTTCTCTTGTAAAACTCCCGAAAATCCAATAAAGAGCAGGACAGAGTAGCTAACATTAGCTAAAACTAATAGCATCCAAGATCAGCTTCCAAAAAGTGGGAAATAACAACACAGTGGATGTGCAAGTAGTGTTTTAAAATAACATGTAACCCCCATAAATGAATGTAGTTAGTTAATCATGTGCTTTTTGGCCTTGGAAGTAACACTGGGAAACTATTGGTAGCAAGCTAGCCGGATATGCTAACGTTTGCAGCTTACGCATCAAAAAAGTGGACGCTGTGACGTTACCCATTGCTTTTTGGACTCATAGCCTCCAATTTTGCATATTGGCTGCCACCATCTTGGTTTTTTGGAACCAGAAGTGACCATATTTTGACAAGAGGGTGGAGCAGGATAGGGGTACTTGTCACTCACAAGGTTGCCATGCTCTAAATCATACCCTGCTTTATTGTCTATTTTCCTCTACATGGGACCATAATTCACAAAATGAACATCATGTTGTATTGAAGAAGACTTGAAACTAGCGATTGAGACCATAAACTCAGTAGGGAAGTGTTTGCTGAGTCAAATCAAATCAGAATTAGGGTCATTTTGTCATAGACTTTTGTACAATCTGACTTTTTTTTGCAACCAGTGGAGCCATGCACACCACTTTGACATAAGAAGACCCTTAACAAGCTCGCCGTGTTAGTTAAGGTTGCTAAGCCATGATTAACCAATCATTGTTCAATAACTAGTTTATTCACAGCTACGCTTTTGAAAGTCAAAGTAGCATATGTCCTTCAAGAACATATCTGAAGTTGGAATCTGACCTTTTGGTGCTCGAGTGAGGGCGTTGGGCGGCGGCCAGCTGCTGCAAGCCTAAAGTGGGGCTGTGGAAGAGGAGGCCGCTGCGTCGAAGCAGTTTCTGCTTCATGGCTGCCAGGCTGCTCCACTCCTGAACGAACCTCAGTACCTGCGGGGGGACATGACACCTCACTTCGTATTCAATTTCAGGCGGCTGGAGCCTTCATCTTCAACACAAATTGATATTTTAGATATTGGAGCCTCTTTAAGAGCAAAACATTTTTTTTTACTTTTTCAATTTTGAAAAAAAACTTGAGCTGAAAACAAACAAGCCCTGCAGAACGCACGCACACACACAAAATAATACACACAAGGAGACAGATTTCCAGATAGCTGAATAAAAACCCATCAAACCAAGAGAGCTGTATATGCTTTCAGCCAAGTCAAGGATTCAAAAATTCACTGGCAAAAAAACAAATAGCACACCAAGCACCAAGGCCTAATGGGCAATTTATCTGGGTTTATTACACTGGAGGAGTGTTTTTTTGGATGATAGCTACTCTCACAAAAACATTATTTGTCTGAAGGTAAAACTCAATATTCATTTTACAGAGTTTTCTCACATCCACGCCTGCTTTGCTGGTGTGACCTGAGGATGCAAAGGGAGGTTGGAGATGGACGATATGCTTGGAATCATTAAAATTATATTAATAAGCATATTTTCAGTAGTATCAGTAAATGACGGTGTAGCAAATGTGGAATATCACATAAATAATCAAACTACAGGGCCTTGTTTTAGAAAGCAGGTTTAAGTAACTCTGAGCTCTGAGTTCACAGCTTGAGATGGGAGGGAAATAAAGAGCAGGGCCTCCATTTTAATCCAATGGTGCTAGAAATACGAATGCATGCCAGAGCGGACCATGACATATTTCTAAAAAAACAGGAGTGGAGGAAGGATCAATAAGTTAAAAATATTACATTTTAATAAGCGTGGTCTGCTCATTCAGCATTTACCAGATTTGAATTTCCTTAATCAATGATAAAGTGCTGCAATCCTTCTGTATGTTTTATCTAAAAAAATATATATTATATTAGCTGTAAGCTGACGGGGACAAAATGCCGGTGGCAATAAAATAAATGAGAAGACACATCATCAAGACACTCATGGACCTTTGATTATACATTCACAATCTGACCCAGTAACAGTTATTTTGGTGATTTGCAGTTGTAAATGTGTCTAGGTCCAAAGTGACTGTAACGTTTTAGACATCTATTTTACATTTTAAAAAATCTGGCTCGTTTCACATTTAATGAAATGCTGTCAAAACACATTAAGCCTAAACACAGCCAATTCACTTTTAAACTACATTTAGTCCAGTTTTTGGCTCTTAAAGTGGTTTCAGCTGCACCACAATCATCCTCACTCAGAAATATTCACATCATCTCCAACATAAATGTTCCGTCAGTGTGACCAGTCACACCATGACAAATGATTGTTCATTGATCAGTTACAGCTTCCTACAGATTAGTTTGATTTTAACAGTGATTACTGCAGCTATGTAGCCCAAGGTAAGTGTTTCAGTGCAACTGTTGACAACCTGACAGAGTCACAGTGTTCTAAAGAAGGACACGCCTATAGATTTATTCTAAGATGAGGATGAATCAAAGATCGTCTCTGTCCTTACATCGGTCACGTTAAAGATCATGTTTCGGTAACAAAATGATATCTAACTGAATTGGCGACGTTTTTGAAGACATTAACTTCTGCAAATGAATGCGTTCCCTATATGCTTTGATATTGACTGTATGAATGAGAAAATGAGTCAGAGGGGAGGCGTCAGAGAGAAACTCGTTGAAGAAAACCTGCCTTAGCATGGTGTAACATGAATAAAAAGCCTGAAGTTGTTACCCTGTTTGTGCCTGTTTCCATATAACTTAAGACTAATTCTGACTTTTTCATTATAAATTTAAGATTTTGACTGTAACCTGATTCAAGAACAGGAACTACAGGGCATTTTGGCGGCCTGGTGTCTATAACATGCATGCTGTTTTGTGACTGCAACGTCCACATTCCAATTCTGGCCTTCATTGTGAGATTTAACCACTGCTAAATACTTAATTCCACTGAATTTATAGCACTAAAATATTTCACTCTGAAATACATCTTAATTTGTGCAGTCATCTGAACCTTTTGCTTCTGTTACTATCGAAAGAAAGCAACAAAAATAGACTTAAAGAATAATTCTGTAACCTAAACGTGTATTAATCCACAGCTGAAAATAGCCCATTTACTCCTGTTCTAGTAATGTTTGCTAAAAAATTACAGAGCCTTTTTTTAAAAATCAAACTAAATGCTTGAGAGCTAAACGATAATCGTCTTCAGCAGGAACCAGTGGGCTTGGGGCTGAGTGCCACAGACAGGGTAGTGAAGTACCAAGGAGAGACGCGGTAACGCATTGTTGGTTTTTCATCTTTCCATGGGATTTGCTGACAGTAAGAAACATAAAGAACAAAGCCAGCTTTATCTTGTAAGAGGCACAAGCACAGAATTAAGAGGATGACAGAGTACACTCTGCAACCTAACAATTAACAATGATCTTCTCAGAAATGTATTATTTTGAATAAATGTATGTTTCATTCCCTTTAAAGACCCTGTTTTCATGGTATACAGATTTATAATCGTTTCCTATAAATTCTTTTAAAACAGGTTTGCTTGGGAAGCCTCTCTTTGGTTGTAGGTGAGTTTACACAGCGCTGCCTCCCCGGTCCAAGACGTGTTGCAGCCCACGTTAAACTGCTTGCTTAGTATTGATTTTGATGGACAATTGGTGAGTAACAGGGCGTAAATGATGGGTCAGAGGATGGATGCAACTCACGCCTTCGCTTTACAAACCAACATAAACAACGTGACAGGCGGGGTTGTCTGTCAGCGGCTCTGTTACTGCCAAGGCAGATTGCAAGATTTAATATTAGCTGGCTGGCGTGCGGGGTCGTTTGAGGCGATGATCCGTCTCCTTTAACGACCCTCATAAAACGGCACTTTCTCTTTTGCCGGTCTCCTTGGCTGCCCAAACCCCCAAACCACCCCCTCTCTTATTTCCTCTCTCCGTCATCACCCAACCCCTCCTCCCTTTCCTCCCCCCTTAAGGCCCTGCAGTGGTGGAAGTAGGAGTCCACACTCCCCTATCTGTCAGGCTCCCAGTACCGTGCTTCTGCTCTTCCTCCTCATGATCAGTGGTATCATTACATTCACACACACGTCTGATATCTGTTTAATAAGCCCCGTCCAGCCTTGTGCCTCATCTTTACTGGATCAGTGGAATTGGGGAGATAGCTCTCTGACCGCGATATTAAACTAAATTATCTTAAAATTAAGGTCATCCTTAAAGCAGCCTACGGGCTCACTGGCTGAAAACCCTTCAACCTCACTCTTGTGCCCATGTAGAAGCTTCTGTCATCTTGGAAATTGTGTAGTTATAAATGGTTGAATCTTTTCTCATCAATCAAAAGAATGAAATATTGGCGCATTTTACAACCTCAAAGTCTAGTCCAGAGGAATGCCCCTTAAAGGCGTTTTTACAGTAATGACTCATTAAGTAGGTCTCCTTCGTGTAAACACTCCTATCCGCATGCACACCCACACCCACAGCCTGGCAGGAAGGACAGACCTGTATTCGATTTTCCCGGCGTCGACTGAAGGCCTCGGGCAGGTCGTCCCAGTTGGTTAGTTTGATGTCCAGAGGGACGAAGCTCAAGTTCAACGGATTACCGTCCTAACAGATACGGAGACAAGAGAGGAAGAAGATGGCCTTAAGCAAAGCGATTTGTTACCACACTTTATTTTACTAATACTACCATCCACACATACCACACTTACTAGAGCTACTAATATCCAGAATGAAAATCTTTGGCCCGGCTAATAAGTGTAGCAGCATATTCACCCCGTATCATTAAATATTAAATATTAAGCCTGTACTTTATTTTTGTGGAACATTTTGGGGTGGGTTTTTAACCTCCAATTTTAGCATCTATGAGCAACATATTAAATTAATGATTTATAAACACACTATGATTTTACATTTACTCATTTATCCAGAGCGACTTACAATTGAGCATCAACATACAAACATCCATTAAACAATCTATACAGTAAGAGATCTACAAGTGCCAATAAATACTACTGTGGGCAGCAATAGATACTAGCAAGAGCTTTTAGCGCGTACTGCATCAATCGGGTAAATACCTGGGGAAAATAGTAAGAGTTAACGAAATAGTGCAATCAATACAAGACATTGTAAGGTGATAGAAGAAGAAGAGCACAGGAAGTGCATGTTAGAGGTTAGGAGTTACAGGTGTTATAAGAGGAAGTGTTCTCGGAAGAGATGAGTTTTCAAGAGCTACTTGAAGTTAAAGATTGACGCCCGCTGATGATGGCGTGTGGTAGCTTGTTCCTCCACGTGGTGTCACAGATGAGTTGCGTATAATAGTAGCTGTAAGCAGATTTAGGGCCATTTTTTAATGTTATGTATGTAATGTTGTTGTAATATTGTATTTTGTTAAACAAAACACCTCAGTTCACTGAAGGAAGCCGTCTGAGTGTGTGAGGAGCAAGCTTGTTGATGTGTGCATGTAGAGTCCTCTGCCGTTTGACTCGTCCACCAATAGGGGAGAAGTTGACCCCTTGAGATAAAACCCCTCCTCATTTGCATAATAAGGCAGAAATGCATAGAAATGTAAAAAGGACAGGCAGAAATAAATACCATTGGGGAAATAAATAGGGTAGAAATGCAAAGTAAGAATAAAACAGACAAAAATAATAAAAACACACAAATAAATAAATACATTTAAAAATAAGTAATTAATAACAAAAAGTTGAAGATGATAACGGACAGTAAATAAATAAGGTAATTATGATAAAGGTGAATTAATCAAGAAGCTAATTAAAAGACATATATACATTTATGTCTAAATGTATAACTTAATTACTGCCTACATTTATTTATTTACTTTATTTTTTGTGCATTTAATCGGATGCTTATTTATTTATTTATTGAGCATTTATTTCTTTCTGTATTTATTTCTTAATCTGTCAGAATCAGTCCTCCATAATACAAGCACACACACACACGCAACGATTAAAATTTTTAAACTAAACTAAATTGCGATTAATCACAGAAAATCACGTGATTAACGATTAATCGCATGATTTTCTGTGATTAATCGCAGAGTTATGCGCAAAATTGAATAATGAATTCTAAAGTAGTGTATTGCGCACTTTTAATTTAAATGTACTGCTATATACACAAAAGTGCAATAACATGTGGTTTGCAAACACTTTAAACAATTAAGGTGCTTTTTACCAGCAGTATTCCCTTTACACAGTAGCAATAAAATATTTCTTGTAAATCTAAACTTAAACATTAATGTAATCAAATCAAATATTAAATTACAAAGCTATTTGCCACTGCCAGGGAATTACCTTTTGTCTAGCTTGTTAAAGTGAGTTACCATCAAAGTCCAGTTTTCTTGGGGGTTTTTCTGAACAGGTAGCAGCAGAAATATTTTTCTTTTATCAGGGAGCAGCATAAACAGTCTACTGTATGTTCATTAGCAAGGTGAAGTGGTCGAGCACAAGGTGTAGCAACAAGCGGGTGCGTTCCCATGAAACTGTTGTGCTCGCCTCACGCACATGCCTGTGCTCGCTGCCGAAGTTGAATTGTCTTGAACTTTTTGTATGCAACGCACAGCACAAATCATTGGAAGAGAGACTGATCCTCGCTGTTTGTGAGTTTCCAGAATCTATTACTGTTTACTAAATAGGTCATCACCAGGATGGAATTCGCATGGCAGAGCATCCCCGCAACTAGATGAAGACCTATCAGGTAAAGTTATATAGCCAATAAGTATAATACTTACTTAAGTTATATAGGCTATAGTTGTGTACCGCACAGGAGCTGTTGCCATGGTTACTATCCATAGAGCGCCTGCCGTTTACTCGCGGAGCGCTGTCTTACTACTCCCACATGCTGCATCCAACATAGTCTGCCGAAGGATTTTCGAGTGGCCTTTTATTGTGGCCACCCTAAGGCACACCTGTGCAAAACCCATGCTGTCTGATCAGCATCTTGATATGCCACACCTGTGAGGTGGATGGATTATCTCGGCAAAGGAGAAGTGCTCACTAACACAGATTTTCACAGATTTGTGAACAATATTTGAGAGAAATAGGTTTTTTTCTACATAGAGAAAGTCTTAGATCTTTGAGTTCAGCTCATGATTAATGGGGGCAAAAACAAAACTGTTGCGTTTATAATTTTGTTCAGTATATCTATATATCTATATAGATATATATATAAAAGCAACTTTAGATTTATTAATGACATGTTTTTATAAATATTTCTTCACTTTCCACAACAACGGAGGCCTCACTACTAAGTGGGCCTTGAGTTAAGAATTGTTTTGGGAGTTATAAAGTGTTAACACCTGGGTTACAAAAACATTTTCTCAATCTAGTAATATCTCGGCAGGCAGTTTTGCTTTTATTTGCCCAGGCCTTGACATCTCTCTCTCTGAGATTTCTGCCTTTGCCCAAATACAATAGAGTTCAATGGAATTTAATTTGCGGTGCTCATAGGACTGAAAAATGACATTTAAAAAACTCACCAGAAACATCTCTTTCCAGAAACAGTGTCACCGTTACTCTAGACATTCCACAGAGCATGCGGTCAACAGTTTATATGGTTCCAAAGAAAGCTGTTCATAGATGTTACACAACCCGGGAAAATAAAAATAAAACTTCCTTCTTTTCTCCTTTCATAAACCTGTGAGCCAGAATTTCTAAAGCTGATAAACTCTATATTATAACTATTTTTTCTTAACCCAAGATAAATGGCTGTATATGATTTTGATTTTGCATTAATGATTTGATGTAAATATAAGTTCAACCATATTTTTAACAAAATGCAATAAAATTTTAATGTATGTAACTTTTACATTTTTCTGTGTGAAGACATTTTATCTTGAAAGGTGCTTTACATACAGTTAATATAATTATTTACTTAACAAAGGTAAGAAAAAATATAGCACACATAACTTTACCATATCAATAATATAATTTTACAACTTGAACTGAATTAATTAGCTTATCACATTTGGACTATATATCAGAATCAGAATCAGGAGCTTTATTGCTAAGTAGTGTTTTACACATACAAGGAATTTGCTTTGGTGATAAGGTGCTACACTTTCATCTTAAATGATTTTATCTTGTCTGCAAATCTAGATTTTGTTTTTAACTGAATCATGGTTGCAAATGAATGACTATGGCCAGCTAGCTGAACTGTGTCCGCCTCAATATGATTGTTTTAGTCAAAGGGTCAGTGGTCGTGGTGGTGGGCTAGTGAGTATGTATAGGAAAAATTTTAAATGTCATCAAGTACGCTGTGATGAATTTAACTCCTTTGAAGTTCTCACTCTTAAACTTGGAGGGCTATCATATTTGTTATAATTTATCGCCCCCCAAAACCGCCTGGAGGATTTTTATCAGAACTTCCTGAATTTTTATCTACTCTGGTTTTAAATTATGACTGACTTTTTTACCACTGACTTTTTAAATATGGCCACTTCTTTTAACTTCAAACAACATGTCAAAGGGCAAACCCATAACCCATACACTGGACTTGGTTTTTACCCTGGGTGTCAGCATTTCCCCTGTGGAATTAGTGGACATGACCATATCTGACCACAGATGTATTGTTTTTAGCTGCGATTCGCCTGTTACTCATGCCGCCTCACCAAGCTCTGTGTGTTCTCACATCTTTAATGAACAAAGTGTTTCAAAGTTTTGCACATTCTTTCAGAGCCAAAGCCAACACCTGTCTGATTCCAACACCAACAATCTGGTCGATCACTTCAATCATATCTGCTTGTCGACACTACTGCTCCTCTAAAGGTTAGGCCTACGTCTAAAGCTAGTAAGCAACCCTGGATAAATGACAGCATTCGCAGCCTAAAAAGGGAATGCAGGAAAGCAGAGCGCAGATGGAAAAAATTCAGTCTCCAAGTCCATTACCTCAGTCTGAAGGATTTATTAATTAACTACAATAACATGGTTAAGGATGCGAGAACACATTATTTTTCTGAACTCATTACTACAGATAAACACAGTCCCAGGTTTCTGTTTAAGACTGTGGATCAGCTGGTAAACCCAAACCCTCCTTGTGCCTCAGCTGCAAGTAATGATGACTGTGAATTGTTTTTATCTTATTTTACCAATAAGGTGGTGTCAATCAGAGCCTCTATTACCCCTGCGGCCTCTTACTCAGAGGTTCCTCACCAGCAACAAGAGAGTTTTAACCAGTTTTATCCCATCGACTTGTCTGAGCTTTTAAAAACAGTATCACAAATGAGAGTGTCCTCCAGCCCACTTGATGTAATACCAACAAAGTTTTTACTGAAAGTAATGGATTCTGTTGGGCCCCATTTGATCTGTTTTTAACAGCTCCCTATCTACTGGTTGTGTCCCTGATTATTTTAAAACCCGCTTTTAAAGAAACCTGGTTTAGATCCCTCCCTCCCACAAACTTTTGGACCAATTTCAAAACTGCCTTTTATTGCAAAGATTTTAGAAAGAATTGTGTCCAAACAGCTGCTCACTGTACTGGAAAATAACAAATTATTTGAAAAGCTTCAATCTGATTTCAGGAAGTATCACTGAGACTGTCCTGCTTAAAGTCACCAATGACCTTTTAATGTACTTCTGGACCTTAGCGCT